ATCACCATCGAGAGAAGTGGGGCGTCGTTGGTGAAGGAAAGAACGTCGCCGGACAGCGGCCCCGTGAAACCAAGACTCGCGCTCCCTCGTCCTCGCCTGACTGCCCGCCGCTAGCATTCATCCATTATCTCCGTTTTGTGGGCCATGCGAAAGCCGACTGTGGAGGACAATGTGCACGAGTTTGTGAAGGGATGTGGCAACTCTCACCGGCATTGCTTCGTCGACTGTGCAGGTGGGTACGAAGACGCAGTGGACGAGTGATGTGCACTCAAGCAAACATGATTTGTGTTACCGACGTGAACGTCACTACGCTCCGACCACGTGGTGGTGGGGTAAGCTAGTCTGCAAACACATTCGACCCGATTTCGTGCACTGTCATTGAATTCGTCGACTTGGACGCGCCCAGTGGCCGGCCGCCGAGGAAAAGCACCAAGTCCGACGGCTGCACCCATCCATTCGCAAGCAAGATTGCAGACGCTTGATCGATAAAATCCGACAGCGTCGCTGGCACGGCCATCGCGACTGGTGTAATGCCTACACCACCCCATCCGTGTCAGTGTGTGCCCAAGTTGTTCGGTGCGCGTTCGGAAGCTTACCGTTGTACAGCGCCATCTGATTTACCGACCGCTGGTTGTCTGAAAAAGCCACGATCGGAACGCGAAAATCATTCTGACTCAAGTATCGCGCTGCGTTGCCGTGCTGGGACCAGCACACGACAACCTTGACCTGTCATCGCATCGCATCGCCGTGGGTTAGCCCAAGGGAGCCAGTGGTGTACCTTACCTCGGTCTTGTTGACGACATGCCAGGCGCCATAGGCGAGGGCGGCCGTCAACTTGTGCGCGTGTGCGTTGCGCTCGGGCGGAGAATTCGTCGATTTATGCGACTCGAGGCTCTCAGCTTGCTCGATGATATCCGCCATGGTCGCCACGACTAGCTCGGGGTGATTCCCAGTGGCGCTTTCAGCAGACAGCATGACGGCGTCGGCACCGTCCCAAATTGCGTTGGCGACGTCGCTGGCTTCGGCACGAGTAGGAATCGGGCTCTGGATCATGCTTTCAAGCATCTGGGTCGCAATGATGGACGGTTTGCCGTATAGTTGGCATCGCGAAATGATTTGTTTCTGGATGATTGGGACTGCCGCTAACTCCATTTCGACGCCGAGATCCCCCCGAGCAACCATGATCGCGTCGCTCGCTTCGATGATTTCGTTGAGATTTCGAATGGCTTGTGGCTTTTCGATCTTTGAAATCACGTGCAGACCGTCGCCCAGCGCGGCCTTGAGCTCGACTACTTCGGCAGCATTACGCACAAACGAAAGCGCGACGTAATCGAGGTGGTTTGCCTTGGCCCACTCCACGCACATCCAGTCCTTGTCGGTGATTGCGGGTGCCTTAATGTCGGAATCAGGCAGGTTGATGCCCTTTCCAGACGTGATCGCGCCACCGACAAGGACGCGACAGTGCAGAGAATCTCCTTTAGATGAGAGCGCTTCCATGCGTATCGCACCATCGTTGATCAAGACGAGATGGCCAGGAGAGACTTCGTGCACGAGATCCTTGTACGTAAGGGCGAGCGTTGCTACACCGTCGACAACCACAGACTCCTCGGCGCAAGCGGATAGGATGACCGTGTCGCCGGTCTTGACGACGATCAACCCTCCAAGTGCAGGAGGGGACGTGCTCATTTGAATGCTGGAAGGAATGTGTCCGACACGAATCTTGGGTCCTACAAGAGGTACAAATGATGCTTACCTGCAAGATCAATCGATGCACACCTTGCAAATCCCCACAGACAGCAACAGGAATCTGTAGTTGCTCGGACGCCTTTCGAATTGACTTTAGTCGTTTCGCGTGGGAGTCAAAATCGCCATGACTAAAGTTAAGACGGAATATCCGCGCGCCACTCGTGATGAGCCGTTTGAGAATGTCAACGGATTCGCTCGCGGGGCCGACAGTACACATGATTTTCGTGTCCTGTTGGAGCGTCATGAGCACACCGTGGACTCACACGCATCAAGAGGATCGTACTCGGGCGCGAAGGGGCACGTACACTTGTGGGGGCGTTGTCGACATCCACCGATGGAGGTACAACGGACTCGAATGTCGCGGGAGGAAGCGGCGCGACGTCCACATGCTGGCAATTTCGAAAATGAGGTCTTGGGGATTTCCCTCCTCTATGTTCATTGGTGGAAAGAAACCAATCACGTTCGTTGACACAACTTTGCGAGTGTATATCGGAAACGAATAAAGAAATCAGGATCCATTCATCACAGCACGATGGACTCCACCAGTCACGACGTCGCGGTGTCCTTGCAAGAAGAACATCCAAACAACAACGTGATCGGACGACCTCGCAATGTACCAAAGTCGAAATGACGTTGTCTGAGGCGTCGCAGCCACAGGATTCTTCGGCACCCGTTAGTGCCCCTTGCCCGAATCTGATCAATGCTCTCTCATTGTGGGTTTTGGAAATAGTAGATACTAGACGCAAAACGTGTCCTTTTTCGCACTGTACGCTGACGATCCATCGAGAAGATCAATCGTTAGTACTACTACACCTTTTCCCAATCAAGTTGCGCACTTTTTCCAATCAAGTTGGCAAAATATCGTTTGAAACGTCATTTTTAAAACGGTGGGTGGTTAACAGTGGTCGGTTAACAGTAAAAAACACACAAATTTGCAAGTCAATATGAACTTTTTCCATTCAATATTAACTGCCTACTGACCATACACCATGCTCTCCAATAGGATGGCTTTTTCGACGTTGCGCTGACAGAAGATGACCTCGCGGACCACCAACGGCTGCGTGATGCTTGGCAGCGAAGCGAGAGCAGCATCCTCAAGTAAGACCATTCGTCGTTCGAGAAACGTCCCATACTCACCACGCTCGAACATAGCATCAGTGTGGAGGGCGAGGTAGCTCTTAATGCGAGCCTTCAAGACGCTGAAGCAGCTTTCGATCGGGTTCAGCATCGGTGAGTAGGGGCCAAGTCGCAGCAGCGTCATGTCATCGTGTTGGACAACGCGACTTTCCGTTTGCGAATGGGCCGGCGCGTTGTCCAACACGATGACAACGCGCTTGCCGGCAAAAAGGTCGCGCCAGGTGTCGGACCGCTTGACAGCTTCGCTGTCAAGCGCGTTTTGTTCCATGCGGATGCTGCCGCGTTCGAGTTTGTAGTGGACAAGGCCTTGCTCCGCTGACACGGCGCACTGGACTTGCAAGTTCGGACCCTGCGACGGCGGCAGCACGACAGTGGCTCTCGCGTCTTTTTTGGATCGCCCGAAGCTCCGCTTGCAGTACACGTTGTAATTCGACTCGTCGTAATAAACAATGTAGCCCCCGTTGTCTTTGTGTTGCTTGAGCTTGAGCGCAAACTCACGTCGCTTCTGCTTGTTGATGTCGTTGTTGCAGGTCGCCGGATCGATGCGCACTTGCTTGACGGTGTACAGCTTGCCCAAAATGTGGCGGCTGATGGTTTGGACCGAGAGATCAGTGCCGGCGAAGTCGGCAGCAACAAAGGTTTGCATTTCACGAAGAGTGTATTGACAGTTCTTGTCTAGATATTGCTCGAGAGCGGAACGGATCTCGGGGGTGACCTTGGACTTGGCGGGTCGATAGCCACCTCGTGGCAGCAGAGTCGTTCGGCCGGTGGTCACAACTCGCCTCGCTGTGGCGAGGGACATGTCGTTGTGCTGGGTGACGAGCTTCCAGTTGTCGCCGCGGAGGAACACGCTTCTTCTCCTCCGCGGTGGGGTCTTTGTGTGTTTTCATGCGAAGACAAGTCGGGTGATTGGAAAATGATCATTTTGCATTGACAGTTTACATAAATAGCGCGCTTCTGTGGTTCACTTTGATTGGAACAAAATTCATGTTGATCCGAACTTTTGCACTCCACATCTCTCGTGAAAATTTACATTTTATATCCGATTCAACTTGATTGGAAAAAGTTCGCAACTTGATTGGGAAAAGGTGTAGAACTTCCAAGGAGTACATATTCTAAACGATATGACATGTCACAATGAACGGCAAGTGTACATTCTTCTTTAAATATTTATATGATCAAGTTGGTCCTCCACGT